AGTACAAAGCTCCAACCTGATTCAAGAGTGGATTGTGAAGAGCATTCTCGCCCCAAACTGCACTTGTCGCGGGCCAACAGCGTCGGTCCACGGCCCTCTATACCTCGCGACCCAATCAGCACGCGCGAATTCGCATCGGCTGGCCCTTTGAAAATTCCAACCGCGTTTCGCAGTCAAGATGGTCGTCGCACCAGCTGCTAGTTGGTACACTTTGCACTTGTCCTTGACAGGCTGCGTTCGAGCTAGAGGTCGATCACATAGCATGTATTCTACACCAGCCATGTCCATTGACGACGCCGGCGACCACATTTGCTTTCAACGTCATGCGGGGGCTCGATACGCTCGCTCTCCTCGCGGCCACCGCTGCTCTTGCCGCCGCCGGTACACCTCTCACCCCTCGAACCCCGCCACACCAACGGATAGTGTACTAACAACGACCGATGCTAGAGACGAGCTGCGGCGCCGGATGGGCGACCCAATCGAGCACCGGCTTGGCCTGCGGCATGCAGATTGCCCTTGTGACGGCCCCGATCGTCAACGCGGCCGCGGGCACCGAAACCGTAACTTTTACGGTCCACAGTACGTACGGCGACCCCATCAGCGGCACCGGGTCTGTCGCTGTCTGCTCGTTTGCGACAACGTCGTGCGCGCTCGGCGCCGCGTCGACCTTTGTGCCGGCGACGGCGACCGTCATTGACGCGACCCACTCCTCGTTCACTGCGACCGTGCCTCTAAAGACGGCAGGCGCCTACTATCTTGCGCCCATGTACACCTCGGGGAGCGGCCAAGTGTTTTCCACGGGCGTCAACGCCACGATCAAGGCAGACGCGACGACGACACCGTCCAAAACAACGGCGCAGACGCCATCGACAACGACACCGGTGTCGACGACGCCGGGGGCCACCACGCCATCGGCCTCGACAACCGCGCCGCCGACCGACGCGCCAGCGTCCTCGAGCTCGGGCATCTCGTCGACGACGATCCTCATCATTGGCATTGGCATTTCGCTCGTCTTTCTCATCTTGCTCGTGGTTGTCTACTTCAAGGTCAAGAAGCGCACGAACGACATCAACTCGCGCTCGGGCTTGACCGACGCGCCGCCGTCCTCGCAGGGCGGCGAGATGGAGATGACGTCGGTTGCGATTGCATCCACCGCCAACAAGATCACGGTCGACCCACTTTCGCGGCGCGCGATGATCAACCCGTCGACGTTCTCGAACCGTGCGTCGCTCGATGCGACAGCGGCGCCGGCCACTGACGACTTTAGCTACCAGCGCTACGCCGGCACGACGCCGACGACCGCGGGCGCCAAGGAGGGAGCCAGTCTTTTCAACCGACCAAGTCTCGCGGTGCAGCAGCGTACACGGGCGCAGCCGCCGCGGACACCGACGACGGGCACACCGACGTCGTTCTTGGCGCCACGACAACTGCCAAGTACAACGACGACGACAACAACCCATAACCCGTACAAGAACAATGTGGTGCCACCGGCGCGCCCGACCGGCGCCTACGAGGACGACGAACAATCGAGCTACATATTTTAATATCATGTTGTGCTTTTACCAGACAATTTTGTATGATCTCCGATCTAGGATAGGACATTCTGTACATTCGATCGAACAACCACGACTCTGATTGACTGGCTTGTTTTAAACAGCTGTTTTAAACCGCGGATCCAACGTCGCCGGCGTTTGATTGGTCCAAACGATTGGCATCGATCCTGCCCACTGGCGCAGCATGGTCAAGACAAGGGCGACGACGAGGGCCAAAGCCAAGCGCGCCTGGCGAGCCGCCGCCGCCGTGATCGACCTGGATGGCGCCGTCATCGCGATCGTCCAGTGCTTGGACCGCGCAGACGACGTCGTCGCCTTGCTCGAAGCGCTGCCACACGCCTCGCTTGGCACGCCCTTGACCGCGCTCCTCGACCTGCTCCAAGAGCCGGGCCCGTTGGCGCACACATGGCCCGAGCTCCTTCTGGACAACGTCAGCTTTCGGTATCCGTCGTTTGTCGAGCATATTCTGCAGGCGATGCCAGTGCTTCTGAGCGTCCGCACCGCGCACCGCAACTTGTTCGGGTGTCTTCTGCAGCCGACCGACTCGAACGTCGATGCACCGGACGGGTTCCTCGAGTTTGTTGCGACGTACCCGCGCACGGTGACGCATGTCGACGCCGCGTGGCAAGAGGATGACATTGACTGCTCGGTCTTTTGCGACGCGCTGCGTCGCTGCACGCGCTTGACGACCGTTCATGTGGTCGCGAATGCGCATGCGGCGGCGGTGCTGGCTGCCGTCACGACGCCAGCCCACCGCGTCACGGCTTTGTACATCACGAAGCCGTCGTCAGGTGTCATGGAGGCACTGGACTGGACGTCGCTTCTGCGGCCATGGCTCGCGAGCGGGCACGCGCGCCACGTGACCTTCTTCAGCATCCCAATCGTTGACGTCGACAACCTCGCGCATGCGCTCTTGCGCACCCCGTCGGTGCGCAGCCTCGGCGTCCACTACAACGACGCGCTGCTTCGCAGTCTTCTTGCTCGTAATGTGTTACTGCCTCCGTTTGAAAAAGTCAGCGTCGCCACGGACGAGCCGCCGCTTCTTCCTCGACTCCTCAAACGGTTGAGCCCCAAAACGCTGACCTCGCTCTCACTCGAGGGCCATGTCGATCACTCGGAGACGCTGGCGTACTTACCGTCCATGCCGTGTCTCAACCACCTCTCGCTCACACGTGGTGATCTTGGCGACCTCGACGGCATCTCGGCACTCGACGGCATCTTGGCGTGGTCACGCCTCCAACGTCTCGCGATTAGCTGCGTGTACTTGACGCCAACGACACTCGAAGCGGTCTTATCGTACTTGGACGGCGTCGACAGCCTCCAACAGTTGATCTTAGATGTGGCGGAAATGGACGCCATGTACTTTGTGTCGGTGGCGCAAACCCTTGGCCGCTTGATGGAGCGCGGCCTCCAGTCGGCGTCACTTGGGAACGCCACCAACCTCGACGACAGCAGCGCCGCGTTGCTGGCGCTAGCGCTGCGGCACGACACCGGTTGTCGTCGCCACTGATGCTGGACGTGGGCGAGCACAGCTTTAGCATCGACGGGATTCGCATGATCCTCGACGCCCTCGCCAAGTGCAAATGTGTGTGCGTCAAGATGGTGCCGGTCGACGGCACCGAGCTCGAGCCGTACCACGACGAGATCTACGCGTTCGCATCGGCCCACCACATGATATGCGACTTGACGTACCCGCCGTTCATGCTCTGTAGTCCTACCAACGTTATCTATGAATAGTGTTAAAAGACATTATTTGTCATGTATTCTCGGCCAAGTCTTGACTGCGCGGTCGCAAAAGCACGTGGCGTGTGATGATTCGTCTCTGATTGGGCAAATCACCGACCAACGCCGCAAGCGTTCCTTCGTGCGCCGACCCAATGTCGAGCGCTGGGCTTCGTGCATGCGAGAGGAAGACCTTGGCGCGTAGCTGTGCATCGTACTGTGCTGCAGCGCGTATTTGGACTGGTCAACCGTTGGAGATGCCACGTACACCGGACTCTTAATGTGAGCCAAGGATCTGAGATGATGCATCTTTTGGGTCGCTCGCGCATGCATGGTCTGTGGCCTTGACGTATCGTATGTTGGGTTTTCGAGCGCGTTGTCTGGCGCGGCGCCCTTGTCAACAGCGTCGTCAAGGATGCCACAGATACCGATAGTCGGCAGCGTATCGCTGCCTGTCTGCCCGTCTGCAAGGTCGTCGTCGTCGGCGTCGACGCATACTAGTACAACGAACCGATCCATGTGGCCGGGTGGAGATGGGCGCAGACGTGCCCTTCGTGTCGCCATCTCCTGGATCGGACTCAGCGCCGGACCGCTGGCATCGTGCTCGTGGCAGCCTGCAGCGTCTGCCGTTACGACGCAAACTATTTGACCAATGGCATCGCTGCAAAAGTCGGTCTTTTGGCCAATCAAAAGTGGCCCTTTCACATCCGACGCCACTTGGCAGGCGGCGACGACGATGGGACTCGAGACGCTTCACGACGACTTTTTGGCGCAGATCTGCGCTGCGTGCGCCGTGGCCGACCTTGGCGCGCTCGTTGCCGTGAGCAAGAGCTACGAGCGGCTCTTCCGCCCGTACTTTATCGACGCGTGCAAGCGCTACTGCTTCCTCGACTACCTCACGCCGTCGATCGGCGCGTACCGCATGGCCTCGCCTGTGCCTCGCGTAGGACGCTACATGCTTTGCAGGACGCACTGACGCGCCAATGTAGACGTGGCCAGCGCTCTACAAGGCGTTTACGTCGTCGCGCCACATGTCGTGGTCGGCGTGCGCGTCCGAGGTCAGCTCCGGCCTGCGCAAGCTCAAGGTCGACCCGACCGAGTACGCTGTCGACGGCGCCTTCCTGCTTCGGTACAGTCGCGCGTCTCTGCATCGCCCTCTTCAGCGACGCTATGGGTGTTCTAGGTGCGGCGGTCACTACCTCTTCAGTTTGTGGCAGATCCCTTTCGCATCCATTCACATCACATCCTCGAACGACGACGACCCTCGCTTTGGGACACTGGACATGGCCAAGTGGGAGAGGCTCCGACCGGTCGGCGCCGGCCCATGCCCCCGACGCAACCACACCATCACGGCGCTACCACCCCTCTTTGTCGAACGTACGCTCGTCTTTGGCGGCGACGACGACAATGAGTTTGCAAACCAGCACTGGCGTCGCCTCCTCATCTTTGGGGGCCAAGCCGAGACGTACCCGTTCCAGTCCTTTAACGACCTCTACCTCTGCTGCCAAACCCGCGAGTAGACTCTCTTCTCAACATTCGAAAACAATCATGTTGTCATCTAGTCGGGCGACCGGCAAGACCAAGGCGTACTGGGTCGAGCCCGAGACGACGGGACTTCCGCCGTCGCCGCGCTCGAGCCACGTGGCCACGGTGCTCGACCCGCTGACTGTGCTCTTCTCGGGCGGCAGCAGCGGCACGACCGCGATCCCATCGCTGGAAATTTTTCTTTTGCATCAAATTCCGCACGACTACGGCGGTATCTTTGTCGTTCATCAATCTGAATCTGAATCTTAAATCGTCCGTCTAGACACGGGGCTGGGTGCGTTTCGGTGGTCGCGGCCCACAGCCGAGATGGTGTCGCCCATGGGTCGCACGCTGCATGCGGTTTTGCAACCCAACCGCGCCAAGCGCGAATTCGTCATCTTTGGCGGCAAGCAGGTTCGAAGCTGGGACCAATGCGATAGTTTGTCATAGACAATGTAGATCCGCGAATCCAACGGCTTGTTCGACTGCCACTGCCTCACGTTTCTCGATGCGGACTTGACCGAGATGGCGTGGTCGGTGCCCGCGCTGAGCGGCCATCGACCGTCGGACCGTCGCGGCCACAGCACGACGTTGATCGGCCATCGGCATTTGCTGGTCTTTGGCGGCCAAGACAGCTCATCTCACGAGCTTGACAATACCACGTACGAGCTCGACGCAAAGCAGCTGCGCTGGTTTACACCAACGATATACGGGCAGCCACCGAGCCCGCGCCGGGGGCACAAGATGCAGTACTTTGGCTCGCGCATGATTGTGCAGAGCGGCTTCACCTGGAACGAGCGCCATAGCGTCGCCAATACCAAGCTGCCCGAGACCGACGCCCACGTCCTGTCCTTTTTGCCATTCGTCGAGGATACGCCTACGAACGTCGCTGCTTCGGCCCTGCAAGCGAACGTCGACGAAGAGGTCGGAGACTACTAGTCTCGACAAGTCGATGCCACAACACTGATAGAGCACGTTCATAATGAGAAAGAAGGCGAGCACGAGCTCGAGTACCTAATTGCGCTTTGCGAGCGGGTTTTGTCTATGTAGTGGAGCTGCTTGCTCTTTGCTTCTTCGCCCGTCGGCGTCGAGGCCTCCGACATCGACATCCTCTTCGACTACCTCAAGCCCGACAATACGGTCGACGTTGACTTGGACTGTATCGCGCCGGTCGCCAAAACCACCGCCAAGGCTGCCACGTCGACGTCGACGCTGCTCATGAACCCGGCAACCGCGCTCTTTCTGCAGAAGCCGGGCAGAAGCCGCGTATGCATGCGATGGTCGATGGCTATTCCACGGGTCGAAGTAGAGCGACGATACTAGGCAAGGTCCTCGCTGTCGATGCCGATGAGGGACGCGGATCTGCTGCGACGAAGCCATCGCTCTGCCCGGCTTCTACGGCGTCTTGCCCTACATACCGGTACGACGCCTCTCGTTGGTCACCCAAGTTGGCTGCCATGGCGCCACGTTGAGGTTGCAGAACCACGGACCAAGATTTGCATCCGGATGACTGGCGCTTCGTATCCGGATGTCATTTCAATGCAAGGAGGACCTCATTTCCAAAGTCGCCTCCTCATCATCCGCAGCATGGCTTCGTCGCTCCGCCACAAGGTCCTCTTCGTCCTCGGCGGCCCGGGCGCCGGGAAGGGCACGCAATGCGCCAAGATCGTGGCCCAATATGGCTTTGTCCATCTCTCGGTACATGCTGCATGCGGCGAAGATGCGGCTAAGCATGCCATCGTCCACGTAGGCTGGCGACTTGCTCCGTGAAGAGCGCGCGTCGGGCAGCGAGAACGGCGACATGATCGACCGCATGATCCGCGAAGGCGCGATCGTGCCCGTCAAGGTGACGCTCGACTTGATCCGCAAGGCGATGGTCGCGAGCGGCCGCGACCTCTTCCTCATCGACGGCTTTCCGCGCAACTTTGACAACCTTACGGGCTGGAACGACGAGATGGTTGACGTCGACGTCGCCGGCGTCCTTTTCTACGACTGCCCCGAAGACGAGATGGAGCGCCGTCTCCTCGAGCGTGGCAAGACGAGCGGTCGCACCGACGACAACATGGAAGCGATCCGCAAGCGCTTTGCGACGTACACCGAGTCGACGATGCCCATCATCAACCACTTTGCGGCGCAGAACAAAGTGTTCCACATCCTCGCGACGTCGACGCCGGAAGCGGTCTTTGAAGAAACGAAGAAGGCCATCGAGCCGATTGTGTCGCAGCACCTCGTCGACACGACGCAGGTATAAGCCTTCGCCACCAATATACATCCCACCTCCCTCCTTGACTCCGCTTCCTCTTGCATACTTAGCGTCTTCTCAACGCTGTCTTCCAAAACGACTATGCAACCTACCGAGTCGGCTCATCCAGTCGACGGAATAGCTTCTTGCTCATGGCGCGCCATGCTAGGCGCTCTGCGATGACAACATTTCGGCCATCGAGCCGCAGTCCATGGGCCATGTCGTCGAGGTACCTAGCTTCCTCTTCCTCCATGGCCGTAGCCTCATCGACATGGCAGGGTATGAAGTTCCACGAGTTCTACTTCAAAAATCAAGGCCGCGGTGGCCTGGGCGTCGCCAGCGTCTGCCAGGTATAGTCATAGTTAGTAGCTCCCATGAACTTGTACTAACTAATATCTGCATTAGGCGAATGTCGTCGACCCGCATGTCAAGCTCCTGGGCGACACAGCGATCGTGTCGTTCGCCAACGTCATCCAGGTACCCTAACCTCATCGAGTATGTATAATTGATGGACAACTTGTCCTTAGTCGGCGTCCGAGCCGTCGGTGGTCTACATGGAGACGCGCGTGTGGCACCGCAGCGCGACGACCGGTGCCTGGAAGAACGTGCACTTTCACCGGTCCTCCAAGTGAACCTCAATATCTCTCTGGAGCCTAGTACCGTCCTCTTTGTGCTAGCTAGTACTCGTACTAGCCTCGTAATCACACCAATATTGTCTTATGCGACCAAATGTATACACAGCGCATCATCGAGTCGTTAATAAGTAAGAGACAACACATATTACGCCCTACTTGGGAATGACGTGGCGCGTGTCCCGCTCATTGTCCGAGAGCACCATGGCGGTCGTATGGCGCAAGTTGGCTTCGTCGACGTACTGGTTGAACGTCGTTGCGTTCTCCCTGTTTCAAAAAATATCAATTTATCAAGCTTGCAAGTTCACAGAATCTCAAGCAATGTACCGGTAGACGCCGTTGTTGCGGGTCGACGACGCCACGCCTTGGTCGAGGACGTCAAGCCAGATCGGCTGCTGGCCCGCAAACGGGTTTGAGAGGCCTTTCGAAATCGCAAACACTTGGCTCATCTTCTGCTGGAACCGGAGCTTGTACTGCTTGGGCGGCATGGCTGAGATGCCATCCGGGTCCTTGCGCTTGACGTACCGCTTGTAGTAGCGCTCAAACTTCTTCTCAAACGTCCATTGCTGCAGAAAGTCGATGATGCCAAACTGGTACAGTGCGGGGCCGTTGACACTGGTCGCCATCTGCGTCGCAAACGCCGACGCCGACTGGATCCCGTTGCCATGGGCGCCGCCGACGATACCGGGCTCGACGTAGTACTCGCAGCTCTGGACGCCCATGAGGAGACTGTAGTCCATGATGCCTTGGTCGTAGAGAAAATCCGAGTCAAAGCAGATCTGGTCGTAGAGCTGCTCGGCCGAGCGCGGGTCGATCCGGACCTTGGTCATGAGGTCGTTGTCCTTCAAGACGATGTTGGGCTCATGGTAGTTGAGGCCGTCGCCGCACTCTTGCGACTTGGTGCTCCCAAACGTGTAGCGCGCGTTGCAGTAGCGGCACGTGACCTTGCCGCCGACTTTGGGCATCGTCGCATTCCGGTCTTCCCAGCTGCCCTTGATGTCGTACCGGTGGTGGATCACTTGCGTATTCGCAAAGAGGTTGCCCATGACGACAAAGTAGTACATCTTGCCGTACAAAAGCACGGCGTGGCAGCCGTAAAACTTTGTCAGGAGCGAGTGCGGGTGCGACATGAGGTACGTCGCGTACTTGGGCGCCATGCGACGCAGCAAGTCGCACTCTTCCCGAGACATGGTCTTGACGATAAAGCTCTCGTCCGACGTGTAAAACATAAAGGCGCCGCTTCGACCCTCGCTGAACCGTTCCTATTTATGTAAAATATATGAGTCATTTTTGGTCGATTTTTCAAAATGGAGGAAAAATGGCAGCGACGGGTCGGTGGCGTCCGCCTCGTCAAACGAGACGCCGGCTCATCGACCACGGCCCCGCGTTGCCGACAGAATATAGAAGGGACATACCTTGGTCGTAGCCGAAAAGAGGCTTGTGTACTCGTGGTCGCCGATGCCAAAGGTCTCGCGGATCGCCCGGAACGTCGTCGGCGCATACGACCAAAATTTGATCGCCCTGTTGTGCTATTTCCCATCATTAGAATATAATTTCAAACGATAAATGGAAAATACCTTGTCGTCAGACGACCCGTCGTTGAGGAGGAACATTTCCGAGGTGTTCGAACCGTTCCCGACTTCGTGCACCGACTGCTTGATGCCCGACGTTGTGTAGTAGAGGATCTCGGACCGCAGGGCGAGGTTGACTTGGGGACTCAAGTCGACGTCGACGTCGTGGTTGCGCCCCTTCCCACGCGTCTTTTGTACGTTGTTGACGGCAAACCAAATGATGTACTCGAGGTACCCCTTGGACGCAATGAGAAACATGAAGAATTGCTTGAGGACCATCGGCGCCAAGTCGTCTTGATGCGTCGCCGAGTTGGTCACAAAGTACGTCGACATGTAGAGGAAGAGCAGGAAGAGCCAGTAAAACACTAGGGCGCCCGTAAACCTAGTCATGAGGACTATGAGACAACTTGTCCATCGTTCGAAACACGATAGATACAGAGAAATGTAGTTGAGGACGCGGAGACGGAGGTTGTACGTCTTGGGCACACCGCCCGAGTAGAGCCGACGCCACGCAATCAAGAGCACGCTAATAGAGGCCCTTATGAGACATGTCGATATCGAGCGCCGGAGGTACGTACACGAGCGACACGATCAAGACAAAGATCACAAAGCCATACAGCAAGATCCACGGCCTAGTAGAAGAGCATGGGCGCCTTGATACATTGATACAAACACATACCAGGTCTGGATCCGGAAAAATTTAGCACCAACGTCCTCGTCCTTGCCGACCGTCGCCGACTTGTTCGTATTGGGCTCGTCGAGGTTGCGTGACGACGCGAGGCAAAAGCCAATGAGCTGCTTGGCCGGCGCGGACGTGTTGACGGCGCGGCCGTCGACCTGGAAGAAGCCGCCGGCGTCGAGCCCGTCGTATTTGGCAGCAAAGGTCACGACGCCCATGACAAGACCTAGCCTCATACATTGGCTCGTGCATCAAGTAAGTAGAGAGCGGCGTACTGGCGATCCAGACAAAAGCGTGGTAAAACTTCATCGAGCGCTTATAGCTCTTGAACGGGTCGTTGAGCTACGATAAGAAGTTAGCAAATAAAAATATGAGCAAATAAGAAGATAAGAAATATGAAAAAACATCGGAAAATGCAGCATAAAATCGAGACACGTACCGACGAGAGGAGGTCGATGGCCATGACAAGGCCCCACGCTTCGGACGAGAAGAAGAAGAACTCGGTCAAGCCCGCGAGGTTCTTGCACGCTTTGGTCGAGTTGAAATCGCCATTATGAAGCGGGTTCGGGTCGTAGTCGACGTAGACGTTGAGGAGGAGGCAGATCGCGAGAAAGATGCTGAGGCAGCTGCGCATGTGCACGATCGGGTTTGGGTGCTGGTGCCACTCGCGCTTCTGCGAATAGGTCACGACGACCGCGAGGCCACACACGATCGTGTTGACCGAGCCGGCAATGAGGCCGGCCCACCGGTAGTTGTAAAAGGCAAGCGTCAAGCCGAGGCACGCCATTGTCCAGCAGATGCCCATGACCTGGCTCTTCTTGTTCTCCATCCAGTGGATCTTGGCGTTGGTTTGGCCCGTCATGCGCCCGCGGAACTGCTTTTGGAACTCCTTGTCGATCACGTGGATGTGCGTACCGGCCATCGTGTTGTTGGACGGCGGCTGGTCGCGCGACGCGGGCGGCGCCATGTACTGCTGCGGGTTGGCTTGGCCCTGCGCGTAGTACGAGGTCACGTCGCGCAGGCTCGGCGTGAGCTCCTGCATGTGCATGTAGTGGTCCGGCATGCCATACGGGCTCATGTTGTCTTCCATGACCGGCGGTGCATCGGGCGCCGCCGAGCTCGACGAGATCGTCGTCGTCTGCCCAGGCCCGCGCTTGCTTCGCCGGGACGCCATGCTACGAAGAACTGGCCTTTGCAGCAGATGGGCTCGACGCTGAATTCCCCGCGACTTGCCACTCACCGCGGGCCCTCACATTTGTATGCAATTTAGTATTGGGAAAGCTTGCGGCCAGTCGGGAAACAAGTAAAAAAATATTTGCTTTCTATTGGCGACGCGGTGTAATAAAATGGAAACGCGCAAACCTTTCGGTTGGACCAATCGGCGACGACGTGGCGTGTGACACACCCCACGCCACGCGCGTGTTTCGGTACTTTATAAGCGAATTCCGCCCGCGATGCTACATGTGGCACATGCCGAAAATAAACGCAAAAAGGGCAAACCTCTGTCACGTCCAACGCATCCGTCGCTTGTAGCGCGTCGTGCGCCGTAGGATTGCTACTTAGCGGTAGCCGTGACGCTCGATACGAACGAGACCGGATTCGACGGCTGCGCTGCCAAGTGAATTCTTTGGCAAAGGTCTTACTTTGCACATATTTGGCGACCGACGGATCAACCTCGTCAGGCGTAGGTAACTAAGAGCCACCACCATTGATGGATGTAGATCCTTGTATGGGCGGACTGGACCCATGGCGGGTAGCCACGGCAGGTGTACCTACGCTCGCGCATCGTGGATACCGCACCTATTTTACGGTGCTTGTTGACGTCGCTGGCGGCGGGCGGCACTAAATTCGGCATTCACGTGCCGAATGCAAAACACAGATGGAGCCATGTGCCAAGTTCAACGCGATTACATGACGAGGCCGCCGTCGACGCGAAGACACTGGCCCGTGATGTAGCTCGCGCGGTCGCTCAAGAGGAAGGCGACGAGCTGCGCAACGTCGTCGGGCGTGCCAAGCCGCCGCAGCGACGTGAGCGCAATCGTCGCAGCCCGGGCATCTTGGGTCATGTGCTCTTGGGTCATGTCGGTGGCAATGAAGCCTGGCTCGACGAGGTTGACGCGTATGTTCTTGGGTCCGAGCTCTTTGGCGAGCGTCGTTGTGACGCCAAGAAGGCCGGCCTTGGAGGCTGCGTACGCGGCTTGCCCGACGTTGCCTCGCGCGCCGACGACGCTGCCTAGTGTGACAATGCTGCCTACGCAGGACGCAAATCTCAGCCGAACGATCCGACGTGGTAGTCAAACCCGTGCGCTGCTTCAGCATGCCTTTCGCGACGGCCTTGGCCATGAAGAGCGGGCCAAGAAGGTTTGTCGCGACAAGCGACTGTGCTTGGTCTTCGCGTAGCCGAAGAAGAAGGCTGTTGTGCGTGATCCCCGCTGCAGTGACAAGGCCCGTGACGGGCACGCCGCCGCTCAACGCATGCAGCGCTTGGAGCGTGGCCTCGGCGCTGCCCGGTGCGCTGGCTTCGTAGGCGACGCCCAGCACATCCGGCGCGATCGACGCTGCTGCCGCAGCCGCGCGGTCTGCGCAGCGCGATGTGATGGCGACCTGCCACCCGTCGTGGTGCAGCTGCTGGGCGATCGCGCGGCCAATGCCCCGGCTTCCGCCGGTCACGAGCGCCAGACGTCTGGCCATCGTGTTCTTGTCAAGCCGCGAGGTGCGCGCAAGTGCGATACGCACTTTACAGATTGGGTGGTACTTGCAGCATGGACATCCGGTAAAGTGCGGATTGGGACAAGGGTGGGGGCAGCTGGTGCTCGAAACGGCATGCGTTTGCATACAAATCTGCATATATCTGAACGCACCAGCTGGTCGAATAATAATATTTCGCGCTGCGTGCGACAGCGTTACCTCGTGCCGTGTCATTTAATATGGTACCACAGAAAATATGCCATCTCGTCCCACAGCTTGAAGAAACGCCCCGTTGCATTCTTCCCTAGGTGTACGCTAAAATTGCATATTTTGTCCCTATATCTAATATTCGCATTTTAATTTACGATTTTTAAAGTATCCCATAGAAATATAACGGTTCATGTGTCAAACATATAAATATAATATGCCGTTTGAACGCTGACCTACTTGGTGGGAGTCGTTTGAAGAGCGCTTGTGCCTATCGATAGAAATGCATATCCGCCATACAAACACCAAGTACAAGAGTTGTTTCGGTCGAGATATTTGTTAAACTCGGGATGTGTATACTTGGGAGAGACTGTATATGCAGTTTCGTCGCGGACCTATCTTGCGGAGCATTTTTCAGACGTTGGCTTGGCACCTGTGAAACTCGACTTCAACGCGTTGGCCAAAACGCAAGTCGCATCTTCCAGCGTCTACCTCCCATCTCGAGCTCCATCTTCCGCGCTTCCGCCTCTTCCTCGCTCCATCATGCCTTACGAGAGCTTTGCCGGCGGTGCTGCCAAGCGCGTCTTTGCCATCCTCAATGTGACCTTGGACGTCGACCAAGATGCGTATGTGTACGAGGTCCAGATCTCGATGCCCGTGTACCTCCCCGAGAGCGACGTCAAGTACCACGTCTACTCGGTCCTGCGCCGCTTCAACGACTTCAAGCGACTCTACGAAGGCGTCGGCGACGTCGACGGGCTCAAGCTGCCCGAGTACGGCCTCTGGAGCGTCCTCCGCGCCGACGACGCAGCATTCCTCTCGCAGCGCAAGCTCGGGCTCGAGACGATGCTCAAGACGATCGAAGAGAATCCGACCGCGAGTCGATCCGGGGCGTTTGCCGAGTTCCTCGCGTCGCCGCAGATGAAGCTCAACGGCGACGTGTCCTTCCAGCAGCTCACGACGACCGAGAGCAAGAGTCGGGCCAACTCGGCCGACCGGTCATCGAACGCAACGCTTGTCGCTGACGACGAAGCCACGTCGGTCGACCCGTAGTCCCACGATCTCCCACTCCTTCTCCTCCTCTACCTGACCATGCTGCTAATTTATAACGACGACGACGATGAATCCACCATGTTGGTCTTCTCAACCTCACTCGGACGACGGACGATGGAGTGACCAGACCGGCGCGTTGAGCCCGAGCGTCTGCCATGGCTGGTCGTACAGCGCTTGGATCCGGGCCTCAATGCGCTTCTTGGTCCTACATCATCAGGTATGATCCATCATCTGTCTTGTCCAGGAGACCGTACGCTTCGGTGAGCTGGCGAGGAAGCACCGACTGCACGCGGCCGGTACCATCTCTTGCTTGCAGGACGCCCTCGGCCACGAAGCGCCAGTTGGCGCAGGGCATACCCCGGTACATGGTCCTACATGATCATGAAGATGACAATGGCTCATGCAGATGGCGCTACCAAGAAGACGACGAGAAGTGTTGTTCGTTGCCTTGAAGCGCCATGGCATTGCGGGTCAGAAGCGACTCGAGCATCTTGTCGAGGAAGACATTCGACTGCCGCGCGAGGTATCCGAGATGCGACGTCGTCGTCGGCGTCGGCTGAAGCGCATGCTGGCGGCAGTGGTCGGTCACAACGTCGCAGAGCGGCCGTGCCAACGCTGGCAACGCCGTCAGCGTCGGCTCGACGGGCGTCTCCGTGTCAGAGTCGCTGTCCAGATCCAGATCCAGTGGAATCGTACTGGCGTCTTGGTCGAAACTAGAACCACAGCGAGAATAAGCCCGAGGTAGGATGCAAGGCCAGGCGGACTCTGTGGAGAGCACATTCTTGGGGTTGACGGGCCACACAAACGTCCTATGCATGGTTGACAGCATGAGAAGGTAAGCGAGTGCAGATGCGGTCGACTGTACGAAGCAAGCTCGTCCTGTTCTTTGAGCGGCGCGCGTGTCGGTGGGCCCGAGGGTGGGACGCCGTAGTGAATGTGGTTGAGCTCGGGCGCCGAGACGTGCGACGCAAGGCAGCGCGCAATGCCCCACGCTCGCTCGACGTCAGTTTGACGGTCGACCAACTAGTTGATTCGGAGGCTTTAGTACAGTAGAGAGATGATGGATAAGATCGAGTACCGCTTTTTGCGGTGGCACATTGTCGTCCAAGAGAAAGTCGTCGTGGGTCGCGTTGAGATCGACGGGCAGCGCTGCCTCGACGTGGTCCAACGTCGCCGAAGGAAGGTTCTCGACCTCGAGGACCGTGGCGTCAGGGTCGTCGACGTCCAGTAGAGTGGCGTCAGGGTCGTTGACCTCGAGAAGCGTCGCGTCCGGGTCATCGACCTCGAGCTGCGTAGCGTCAGGGTCCTGCGTCGCGTCAAGCTCTACATCCGACTGTGTTGCGTCGACGTCCAATAGAGCGGAGGCATCTTCAGCGCTCGAGAGCTCGTCGTCGTCATCGTCATCTGACTGGTTGATATCGTCGGCCGGCGGAATGCATTCGTCGTTGTTCGAGTCGCAGGCCTACATGTACACGGTAGCAGTAGGAGTCATGGACGAGCA